CAGAATTCCATGCCAACAAGAAACTTACCAAAATCTGTATAGTTTATACAGCATATTTGATCCCTCTTACCTCGAAGGCAGGTAAACAATTTCAAAAACTGTGTATTTAATCATGTCCTTATACCCTATGGTTCTCTGGAAGTTGTTTAAAGACTACAGCTGTCAGACCAATGTCATGGTCCAAGCTCACTTTGTCATAGCTAACAAAAGAGGACCACAGGCCCAATATAAGCCCATCCCATGTCAATCTGACATACTTAAAATCGTTTGGATGCATTATTGTATCTAACCAAATGTATGAAAATATGGAAATGTTAGAGAAAACAGTATAACTAAGTCAAGTTGTGAAATATTCCTGGAATGTGGTGAAAACAGCAAACATTCTCTATTCGACCATTTTCAGCAGGACTATAAGGTGCCTATATTTCTTTTGGTTTGCATAGAAATTGCTTCCCTTTGTCCAAGTTTCAAACCATGAAAATAGAAATTGAAACTGACTAATCAATTCTTCTTACACCACTAAAACCGAAAGATATTTCTATTTTTTTTTATTAATTACTAGCAGATTTTGCTATTAGACAAAGTGCTAATAACTAAGTCTCATAAAAACCCTGTCATATTGGATTAAAATTCGTCAACCAATAGCAGTATGCTAACAAGGGGCCTTATCATCTCAATAGACAAATCGACTTCAAGAACATATTTCATAAACTTGTTGTGTGAATGTTAATTTTGCATAACTTTGGTGTTTTTTTTAGCATTTATGATAGAATTTGTAATCCTACTTCATTTATAAATGAACAATGGTCAATTAATCTCAACATACCAGCACTTTAACATAGTCATATAAAAATGTCTTACTCAGAAGGTTTACTAAATGCCTCATTATAATTACCTTTTCCCTCCAACAACTCTTTAACATTAGAAGGACCTAAGGATCCTCCAGGTCAAATTCAGTTACACCAATTTCACTTTATCCAAAATTAAGAAATAGGATTTACCTCCATTCCCCAATTAGGCCCCACCCTTATGTCCCATGGATAGCCACATCCTCCCCTCATACAATGACGCGTCTCCTTCGCTAAAGGATGCTCAAGATAAATTTAGGTTCAAATTTCCTTTATATATTTACCTACATTTCCCTTTTTGGGCCCCACCCTCAATCCCTATGGGGAGTTAACACACTCTCTTTAAACAATGTTATTTGAACTTTCAAAATGATGCTACAAATTAAATATCATAAAATTCCTTACTCCTACTCACGGATTACGTTAAAGTTTTTTCTATATCCCCTATTTAGCCTCACCCCTCTGCCCCTAAGACATCCACATTCTCCATTTCTACAAATTGGAGTCTGTTTAGCCTAGGGATGCTCCAGACCAATTAAGATTGAAATCCTTTCCCCCAGATTTATAAAGAAATACCTATATTCCCCTTAATGGGCCTCATTCCTGCGCCCAGGGGGCCACACCCTTCATTTACACATGGTAGAGTCCCCGTGGCCCAAGGATGCTTCAGACCATCTTAGGGCAAAATCCCTTTTAAAGTATGCCTTTAACGATTTACCTATATTTCCCTTGTTAGACTTCGACCCCACCCTTCATTTATACAACATTGAGTATCCTTGGCAAAGATACTCGGAACTTATCAAGATCAAAATTTCTTTACCGATACTCAAAGTGTACGAATATTTACGTCGATCTCCCATATTGGCCCCTGCCCCGGCCCAAAACCCCGTCTTTTATACAAAATTGATTCCCCATAGCAACGCTCCACACCAAATTAAGTCAAAATCCATTCAGGAGCATTAGGCTTTTAAGTGAAAAGTTGACAAGACAACGGACGCAGTGCCACAGCACAAGCTCACTTGCCCTTTGAGCAAGTTATCTAATAAGTTAGGCACAGATTTTGCCTTTTATTGTATAATGTAAATATTGTCAAAGAATCTGGACATATTTAACAAAGATATTGTGCAGAAACCCTCAACCAAGCAGAACTCAGTGTGCTAATCATTAAGATTTTGTTCCACTCAAAACTTTGTTTCAGTTTCATTAAAATCAAATGTTATTTCAGCAGGTTATCAAGCACAAATCAAACAAAGGTATGGGCAGACAGATGCTCCCCATACCATGATTTATGCTTTCTGTGATATTTGATGTATTGTTCTATATAATTGCATGTCATTATGTTTAATTTATATTACCAGGTAATATGTAAAACTAACACATTTTTACTAATATAGAGGACCCTGAGGGAGATTAGCCTTTCGCTAAATCAGGTTTTTAATCCTCAATAAATAAAGTTTATTATTATTATACCATAAACTTTTTGATTGGTGTATAAAAATCTAGGTATCAAAATATTCCACGGGTGTCGCACCACACCCCTGGTCAGATAACACAACATTGGTATAGGGTTACCATCTCTATGACAAGACAAACTTGTTTTACCATTATGGAATCTGCAGGAGCATCAAAGAAACTTATTTCATTTACTGTTTAAAGGAGTGGAAAATGTAACTTGTTTGTGGCATTCACTAATAGCCTTAAATACTCATTAAGATTAGTGCAAATCAGCATGAAAATTGGACCCTTTCTCAAAGAATGCAGAAATCTAAACAGACATGATAGAACAGACATGTATAACATTGGCTAGCAGTTTTTCTTTAAATACATACCAGCCTACACTACACATGCATCATTTGTTAGTCCGGATACAAAAAAGGACACCAAGACTTGAATGTTTTGTTTGTTATTTAAGTTTTATTACACACATCTTGATTCCTAGTTTGACAATATGTCAATCTAAGACAGGAGTATTTCTGTAACGGATTCCGTTGATAAATATGAATGAGGTGGACTTTTTTATGTTTATCACTTTAAAATTTCAATATATGCTGAAGCAGTTCATGAAAAGATGCAGGTTAATATCCAGATCTACATTTCTAAAAGAATAAAAATCTACATTTCATAAATTATCTACAGTCAATAAAAACATATATTACTAAAAGTTTGGTATAAAACACCCGCCTCGGTCAACAAGAAAGACAACAGATGAATGAACATTAATGGCTGGATGATGACAAGGCATTGCGGTGATATGATGCTTGCTTTACTTCTTTGCTGCTTTCTTTCCCTTTGCTCCTTTTTTTGCTGCCTTCTTTGCTCCTTTCTTTGCTGCTTTCTTTGCGGGTGCTGCCTTCTTTGTGGCCTTCTTCACACCTATGTAATGGAAAAATCAGTTTAGAAAGAGTTTAGCTGGATTTAAATATTCAAGATTTCAGATTATTTCTGTTTCAGATTTTATAATAACTGGCAGTCAAACGGTTGGTTCTAGACAACTTTAGAGACTTTCCTTAAATGTTATGATTATTATCTTGAATTATTAAAGACTATAATAAAAGTCTTGGGTCAAATAATCATCAACTCAAGGGCATCAGGCTGAAAGGTCATGCTAGGTATTTGATAATCCATAATCACCCTAGGCCTCTTGGTTCTTCAGAAGAAGTCGTTCAAAGATTTTAACATATTTGACCCATTTGACCTTGAAAATGGATGAAGGTCATTCATTTGAACAAACTTGGTAGCCCTTGATTCCAGGATGCTCCTGGCCAAATATCATTATCCTAGGCCTTTTGGTTACTAAAAAGAAGTTGTTTAAGTAAAAAGTTGACGTCGGATGCCGCACCATGGCCTTCGGGCAGGTGAGCTAAAAATGGCGGCATGCAATCATGCTCGGGATTTAACATAAATACTGAAGATATTAGGATGTGTATGCTGTAATCGGATCTCCCAGTTTTAGTTAAAACATATACATTATACTTCTCATTGAAGAACAGTAAAATGTGTATTGCCGAGGCACACATACTGCTTTGGTGGCGTAAAAGCGAAAGTTAACAAATTTGGACTTCTGTTCTCCACAAGCGCAACACGTAAACAGGCAAGCTATCAGCGCATATTTTCTTTCATTCTTGCTATTATTATGTTCTTTACATAAAAATGGAAGCTTTAAGTATTCCTTTCATAGATTTATGCCAGAGAACTTATTCCACGCCTTATTTTCTACAGAAATCGTGTTTAACAGTAGGTAGTCAAAATGAGACGTCAATTGTCCCGAATTAATTCAGGCCAGGAAAAGACACATGCAAATAATCTCAGGGCCAGAATACCCATCATGCAATTTAATTCAGTTACGAAAGTGTTAATACCCACTAGTACATTGTAGTAGTAAATGATGTGACAATGCTTTGCATTGTCATTTTCAAAAGTGACATACTTCATTGCCACCGATTCCTGATCGGAAACAGGAGCAACTTATTCCCAGAGAAACATTTGTTTTTCTAGATATAATACTTCATCCTGTTATGAGAGAAAATTGTCGGTGTCCCCCAACTTGTGATGGTTGATTTTTTGAAATTGTAAAATACACTCAGTAAACCTCTTGTCTTTTACAATTTGAAAATGAACTTACGAGAGTAAGATAAACGTGATAACTAATCATCACGAGTTTGGGGACCTGTTTCTCCCATAACGTTAGAATTTTATCTGAAAAAACACATTTTCCCCTTGGAAAATACATCATGTGTGTTTCTGATGGGGAAAACAATTGCACAACGTCACAATGGAAACTGATGTCAAAAGCAGTCATGTGACGTCATAAATAAAAGATTTACCAACCAAATCACGTCCAGGGTGGTACCCACTAGTGGTTAACCAAAAATGTGTACCAACTCCTAGCAGGTTTATCCAATGAGTAATGAGTGAGGACACCTAGTGGTTGTGGGAAAAACTGTGTTATTTTCATAGTAGAACTTTTCAATTGCTGTGGCATTTAATTTTCCCACATTATTTGGGGGAAAAACTTAGCATGTTGTTGACAGGTATATCGGAATTTCTTTCTTCAAAGGATAACTCAATATCAATGCGATAACAAGGAATTCCCTGACCCTTCCCTTAACCTGCAAGTAAAAGCTAGTAGAGAGGGGCTAGAATGTACACTGTATCCAAACAATGCAGGGGCGGATCCAGGATTTCCTAAAAGGGGGGGGGGCCCCGAGAAAGTTTTTTTCAATAGTCAACGGTGTGCTGTGAAAGGCAGCAGCCCGAGCGCATAGCGCGAGGAGGGGGAGGGTACAGACCCCCTCCCCGTAAGGGGGTTTTGGGGGATCTCCCCCAAAAAATGTGTTTTCTAGAACGTCTCAGAAGCGATTTCCCGTGTTCTGAGGATTGTTTTTATGTTTAATTAACAAGAAGAAAAAAACATATTTTAAGTATGGCCCAAAGACTTTTTTTGTGTACTGGAAAGAAAATTTAAGTTTCGGTTCAAATTCTCTATCAACAGCG